GTTGATTTTATTTTGATATTTATCTTATTATAATAAAGATCACTTGTAAGTGATCTTTTGCCAAAAGAAAAGGGGTGGAAAGAAAAAAAAAATAAAAAATTATTCCTCAGCAAAAGATCACATAGGTCTTTCTTTCAAATACGCAGAGCACGTGTAATGTAAAGAGAGAGATAGAGAGAACAAGCAGATGATCCACAAGAGAGAGAAATTGTCTAAAATGGATAGTTTAGTATTTTTTTTTTTAAATTGTTATGAAGTCTAAAAACAGACATATCAGTAATAACGGAAAGTATTTGGTATTTTGATAATAACATAAACTAAAATGGATGTTTACGGAATTTTTTCTAAATTTTTTATTTCGCTAATCTAAAAGTATCAGCGATGTTAGCGAGGGTGTGGTTTGTATAAGGTTGCAGCCTCAAATAATTTATTCCTTCAAACTTTGTATAAGGTCGCAACTTCAAACAATTTAAACATATCTATAAAAGCATGAAAATCTTGAAAATAGAAGTTCCAGATATTACATTGTAAGATGTACTAATTTCAGTACTTAAAATCTCTTTTTTTCTCCATATTATATACCTCGATGTCAAGATGATCAATTAGATATTTTTCCAACTGCAAAATGACATTTTTTGATGAATTTTAGAAATGCACCTAAATTCTACTTTTTAAGGTATCAACCTTATGTAGACTTTTTCCTTTTAACAATTAGCAAGGAATCGACATTGGACATAAGCTATTTGGATGGATATAAATTTTGGTGTTTTCAGAAAGGGCGCTCAAACCTACCATCCACCGTGACTTCAATGTTCAAATGGAAGTTAGCAGTAGTTCACCACCACTGTATTGATAAGATCGCGCATGGATAAGCATCCCAACCAATACTCAAGTAATGTGTTCCCTTTTGTAATTTCTTATGTATTATAAATTATGGTCAATGCTATCATGTTATTTTTTAAAAAATATTTACGTTTTAATAGTGTATAATTTGAGTTCATGTTTATTAATCTTAAGAAGAATATTGTCTATAATAAACAATATACCGATTTAATATACTAAAGCCCCAATCAAGGTTCAGAATCAATCGAACGGATAATACAAGATGGTTAGACTATCACACATCACAATAATATCTTGTAAATGATAAAAAAAATACACACAATTGACATTCCAATAAAACTTACGACGCATAATATCTCGTTGGAAAAGTTTATATAAATTAAGGTGCACCTAAAAATTGCATTATAAATGATTGTTTTGACATTGGAAAACCGTCTAATTGTTCATCTCGACATCGAGATGTATGAATATGAAGAAAAAAAATTTCAAGTCTTAAAAATAGTATATCTTGCCACATATTATCTGGACCGTCCATTTTCAAGCTTTTGAAGTGCTTATTAATCTACTTGCACTATTTTTGGAGTTTAAGATTTTATGATTAGAGATGAAAATAGTTTCTCAAGCCATCCTAAAAGACACCAAAATTATATTATGATAACATTTGAAGGTGCGCCTTAATTTGATTGTTTACTGTTGCAACCTTACAAACCACCCATATCCTATATCATTAAGAAATGTGATCCTTCCGGAATAAAGAAAGAGAAAAGATTGGGGAAGTACAAAAATATATCAGTTTTCTAGTTTATAAGTCATCTCCAAACACAAGCAGGAAATTAAGCCAAATAATGGGTTTGAGTGGAACTAAAAACTTATATAAAATGATAATATTGAAGCAACAAAACTGATGCACCCAAGGTGCTTCGATTTTCTTTTTCTTTTTTTAATAATATGCGAAAAGGAGAAGTGAACTAAGCAAATACAATCCAACTCAAATCCCCACCAGGCACCTTGCAACTTTTACACGTTTCATATTGACAACAATTTGCAATTTCACAACTCTACTTTCAAACCATCCAAGCTAGTTTTCTATGTCCGAACCTTAATTTCCATAATATTCTCTTGTGAAAATGAGAAAGGATAATATCTTTTAATACCCATACCGGAAAAAGTTTATATAAGGTTGCAACTTTAAAATGTAGAATTAAAGATGCACCTCAAAACCCATTGGAAAATATTGTTTTAATGTCGCAAAACCTTTAAATTGATCTTCTCGTATGAATATGAAAAAGAAAGAAACATTTTGAGTCCCAAAAGCAGTGCATCTTGCAATACATTATCTAGACCGTCCATTTATAACATTTCATATGTTTATAGACCTTCTTGATTTTAACCATTTTTTGAGGTTAAAATTTTATAATTAAAAATGAAAATAGATTTTTAAATAATCCTAATAATTTTTTAAACCAAAATTACATGTTATAATAAAATTTGGATGAGAATTTTAATTGGATTGTTTAAGGTTACAACCTTATACAAGCCACACCCTTTAATATAGCAAAGATTACTTAAGTTGAGCAATAAATGTTGTGGAGGAGTCCTTACATGCTGGATCATTGTTTTACAGCTTGGATTAACTAGGCGACAGGTCATTCGGGAACCCGGTTTAGATCGCCAATCTAAACGATTCTCCTGTTTTGAGAATCAATTCATTTATAATAAAATAAAATAAAATATAAAAAGTAGAAGAGGAGAAAACAGACCATATCACCCGACCAGCAATCTACTGCCAAATCGAACTAGTTCTCGACACTTGCTGGGAACCAGTTCATCCCAAAACACAATTTCCAATTTGAATCGGGGTGTTTTAAATATCTGCTTTGCCTAATGAACCAATAACTTATACCAATCCAAAACTATAGCTGCGAATTAAAAAGAGAAAAAAAAAATGCAAGTTGTTTGGTCTTTGAAAAACAATAACGAAAAAGTCTATAGGATCATTTTACGATTGAATTTTGGTATTTTCGTAAGTAACCATTATTAGATTATATATTTTTATAAAGGGAAAATATACAAAGAGACCATTACTATTAGTACAAGGTCACAACGACACTTTTCTATTAGATTTTAAATCATGGTTATGAGTGTATCTTTGACTAGACTTAAAGCCTTAAAAAAATATTTCTTGAATTTCTTGACTCATTCCAATCTATCCAATTTGATATCTAATGGTTAAGAATAATTATAACCCCTTATAACAAAGATAAATAAAATATAGGTTTTGGCCACACAACAATTCCCACTACCATTATACAACCATAGGCATTATTGACTTACCTTCCGCCACAGTTGTTTCACTATTTTGTAAACCATACTTGTCAAGGGCACTTCAGATATTTCGTAGAATTGCAGGTCAGACGCTTTCTATTCAAAGACGGTGCGTCAAAACCCATGGTGCACCGGCTCGTAATATCCAAAAACCTGGTTCTCACATTCTCCTGATCCGGCGGGCCTACACTGCATGCAGCATGCATTGCATGGCCAAACCAATGTAACATTTTCAAAACCGGAACCTTCCCATCTCTGCCTTAATTTCACACTAATCAACTTTTATCATTTATTACTTAAGGATCCTTGCCTATAAATACAATTAGGGTTTTCATGTGCCATCATCAAATCCTAGAGTTCTACTTAGCACACATGTTATCAGCTATAATGGAAAAGACCATTTTGCCCCTGTTACTATTATCTCTCTTGCTTTTCCCAGCCTTGAGCTTGTGTGATATCACCTCTTGTAGCCAAACCCCTTATCCTGAAGCATGCAACTCGTTTCTACCTACTGTGAGCCAAGACACCGTGTCCGGATTCCGAAATGTCGCCATTATGGCGGCCATGGACCAAGCGCAGGCGACGCTCAGCTGGTGTCCGCGTGGCTCAATGAGCAGCCGTGCGCAAGCTGCCTGGGCTGACTGCCTGGAGCTCACAGAGGACACCGTGTCCAAACTCAACAAGACACTCGTGTCCTCGAATCTCGCGAGCTCCGATACGCTCACTTGGCTTAGTGCAGCAATCACGAATGATGACACGTGTCGCACGGGTTTCTCTGAGACGCCGTGGCTCAAATCAACGGATTTATCGAAACTGTTGAGCAACTCGTTGGCTGTTGAGAAGAGCTTCGCGGCTAGGCTCGATGGGCTGAGTGGCCATACCAATCGAAAGCTGCTTTCAGTGCAGAGTCGTGGTTTCCCCGAATGGGTGGTTGCTGGTGATCGGAGGCTCTTACAGGCATCCACAGGAAAAGCAAATTTGGTAGTCGCCAAGGACGGGTCAGGAGGTTTTGCAACCATATCTGCAGCAATTACGGCATCAGAAAAGCAGAGAAAAACTAGCACCAGTAGGTTTGTAATTTATGTAAAAGAGGGGACTTATAAAGAGAACATTGAGATAAAAAAGTCCATGAAGAATCTGATGTTTGTTGGAGACGGCATCGATAAGACGATTATTACTGGGAGTCGTAATGTTCAGGACGGTTCTACCACCTTTCGCTCTGCAACCTTTGGTAAGGGTTTCTTGAACTTTGTAGCATTTGTAATTTTTTTAGAACATTCTTTTTTTTTTTCTTTTTTTTTTTTCTTTTTTTGTAGTTTAATGGTACGATTTTAACTATTTCTATGATTTTTATGATCGTTTGAAGAGTAAATTATGTAAGGATACAAAAAAAAAAAAAAACTAAAATACGAAATAAGTCAATTTTGGGTTAAATTTATATGGAAGGTCTGTTAACATTAGGTTTTTTATTTGTTTTTCAAAATTATCCCTTAGTCCAAGGATACCATCATCAAATCGCTTTTTTTTTTTTTAGTTTTTTTATAGTAAGACTGTGGCCTAATGTTCAGGGCAGTGCCCAGTCAGTCTGAATCGGACTACCTTTTGTGGTGCTTTTCAAAGCAGTCCGAGGTTGGCATCCTCAGACCGACGCATTCATAAACGGTCTGAGCTACCCATCCTCAAATCTGTCTTCTCTGGTGATGATGACATCTTTGGACAGAAGGGCAATTTTAGAAAAATAAAAAAGCATGAATTGACCGACATGCAGTATAATTTTTCATCTAAAATTGGCTCATTTCGTCAATTTCCTTTTTTTTAGACATACATAAGGGATGTAGTGGCTTATTAGTGCTGGTACAACGGCAACCTGGCTCCTTGATATAACCAAGATTAGGGAAAAGACAAATGTTTTATTTGTATTTTTTAGTTTTTGTTTGTTTTCTGAAGTGAAGTTTATTAATGATTTTAAAACAAAAACGGTTTCATTAGTAGAGTCCTTTACTTATAACCTTGTCTTTCAGTTTAAGTGGAAATAATATTTAGCAACAAAAAATACAAAGACATATTCTCATACAATGGTTATTGTTGCAGCCGTTGCAGCTGATGGGTTCATCGCAAAGGACTTGACCTTCGAGAACACAGCTGGTCCACAAAAGCACCAAGCTGTAGCATTCCGGTCAGGTTCCGACCTCTCGGTGCTCTACCGTTGCAGCTTCAAAGGCTACCAAGACACACTCTACACCTACTCTCAGCGCCAGTTCTACCGAGAATGTGACATCTATGGAACCGTCGATTTCATCTTTGGGAATGCGGCCGCTGTCCTTCAAAACTGCAACATTTATGTCCGGAAGCCAATGAGCAGCCAGAAGAACACGATCACAGCTCAGGGCCGCACTGACCCGAACCAAAACACAGGGCTTTCGATTCACGACTCTAAGGTGTCAGCCTCTTCTGACCTCAAAGCGGTACAGAACTCGTTCAAAACATATCTAGGGAGGCCATGGAAGGAGTATTCAAGGACTGTGTTCATGAAGACTGCCTTGGATAACCTCATTGATCCTTCTGGATGGCTCCAGTGGAGTGGGAACTTTGCTCTTAGGACTTTGTACTATGGGGAGTACATGAATTCTGGTGCGGGAGCGGTCACTAAGAGTCGAGTCAAGTGGTCCGGTTTTCACGTGATGAGCGCTTCTGAAGCTGCAAAATTCACTGTGGGAAGCTTTATTTCTGGAGGGTCATGGATTCCAAACACAGGCCTTCCCTACACCTCTGGGCTCTAAAGAAGAAAGAAAGAAGGGGAGGTTAACTTGGAATGTTTATGGACCAGTTCTTGGGTGGAATCCTTGACATCCTTAATCTAAACCAGATCTCTTTTCCAGAGTTGCGAGACTCGGTCTCGTCCTAAGGGTAAGGCGAGTTTTATCCAAGTAGGCTCTACCAATATTTAGATGTGTGAACGGCGTATTGGTTTCGATTTCCCCAGTAGTACATGTACATATATATTTTTATGTCACCTGTACATTATAAACGTCTGAATGGCGTATGGGGTTCGATTCCCCGGCCCCCCAACTCACACTATTTATTTTATTTTTTTTCTGGGTTAAGTGCTTGAAAATTATACGACATGTACATATATATTTTTATGTCACCTGTGCATTATAAACGTGTGAATTGGCGTATGGGGTTCGATTCCCCCCCTCCCCGGCCCCCAACTCAAGGTAAGGCACTCTTCTTTCTTTTTTTCTTTTTTCTTTTTCTTTTCGGTTGAGTGATTTAAAATTATACATAACGAAAAAGAGTGATTTACGTACAGAATTTAATTAATTTATTTATTTAAATACGAAATGTCAGATAGAAATTACAAATAAAATCGGTCAACCCACATCTTTTTAAAATTTTTTCCAAAATTGCTTCTTCGTTCCGAGGATTCCATCCTCAGATCGATTTTTTTTTTTTTTAACTTTTTCATTAATAGAGAAAGTGGGCTAACTAACCCTCTTTCATGAGAATTGAACCCATGAGCTCTTTAACATACAAAGGCAACCCAACCAATATGATATCCACCATCTAATGTTGGAGTTACAAAGGTTAAAAATATTGGCCTTTTAAACTATTTTTGTACGCTAAAAAAAGGAATAGCGCTCATGATAATTGAACCCACGAGCTTTCACAGAGAGCAACATTCAAAGGTGGATGAGCTAACGAATACAACATTCAAGGACTTATGCTAAAGTGAGGCTGATTATAATATTTATTAATTTATTATCTTTTTTGTTTTGTTTGTCCTTTTTTAAAAAAATGAACATGACTCAAGCGAACTATTCGGACTAGGACAAGAAACTTACCTTGGCCAAGATCCGAGTACCTTGGTCTGATTCGTGTTCAAAACATTGCTCTTACCAATTACTTCAAAGCCTGAGGGAGACCTTGGGCTTTAAGGAAGTGTTTGTTGTTTGTGTATGCCAGCATTTTTTGTGCATCTATCCATCATTCTTTATATCTAATGTCACCCTTTAATTTGCATTCATAGGGTTACTATATATGTATGTAAGATCATTATTAGGCTTTATCTGGATTATTTCATTGTCCTGTATCTTAGATATAAAAGACCCTCCCTAGACTGAGAGAAGAGGTGGTCAGGTCAGGTTGGATTGTTTTGGACAAAGTTTAAGTTTGAAGCCCTTCACCTCCATTGGAAACACGATGTTAAGCCAACAGGCCAAAGCCTACAGGTCACAGGGCTTTGAAGAGATGCTTTATTGTTTGTTTGTGTCCATTATTTTTCTTTTGTGTCTTCGTAAAGTCATTGTTTAGTTTGTAAATCATTCTTTAGTTAGTGGTGTACTCTATTTGCATTATTTTATTGTACGTATATCTCAGATTGGGGTCCTTTGTGCAATAATAATATTTTGTAGCTCTTGTTTTCAAAATAATATATATATATATATATATAATTTATTTATTTATTTATTGTAGCTCTCTCTTTCTACATTCCATCCATGGCCTTGGGAAGAGATGTTCATTAATGATGGACTTTGTATTGGATGTGCATTATTGGCCATTAGTCATCAAAGTCAGATAATGCATTGTTTTGGGCACGGATATGTATTGGAAAATTCTATACCAATTACTGGTAAGTCGTCGCCTGGTTGTATGACCAGATGGTAAAGGATCATTTTCTGACAAGAAAACTCTTTTATTATGTATAGATGTTACGAATTTACTATGTAGCAATGATTTGAACTTGGGCTGAATCAAGGGTTAGGAAATTAGTATTAGGGGTGGCAATTGGCCCGGTGGCACTGCCCGCCTTGGACCGTATATTTTTATCCTTTTTATAATGTTTTTCTTTAATTTTACCGGTGCAGCCTAGCTCGGCCTGACCCTGGTATGGCCAAGGATAGGGGAATAGGGCCGTGGCAATGGACCGGTGGCTAGGGCTGCCTTGGACCGTATGTTTTTATCTTTTTTGCATTGTTTTCATTTAATTTTACCGATGCAGCTTGGCCTAGCCTGACCTTGATATGGCCGGGACCTACCTTTAGGGGAATAGAGCCGGTCTAGGTGCCTAAGCTGGTCCGGCCCGTTGCCGACCCTAAATTTAGTAGGCACCACATACAAGGAAATTGCTATATTAGAAATTCTATGGAATTCTCTTTATTATATGTGTGCCTCTTGGAGAGAGAGAGAGAGAGAGAGAGAGAGAGAGAAATGATGGTAGTGGCATGTGAAAGCGAGTAACATGCGAAAGACAACGTGCCGATGGATGGTTCAGATGATTAGGGGGACACGGGTCATTGACAGCGACCTGCCATGTGTATTTATTTAGTAATATGGCAGGGAAATCAGGTCGTCTGGAAGATAAGGACAACGGTGATTTATGTTCTACGCCATCTGGGAATTGAAAAAGTAATAGCAAAACAAAAGAAAAGAATGACGACTATAATGTTACAACTAAATAAATCGAAATAGAATGAAAGACTACAAATAAATAAGTTGAAATAGTGAGAGAGAAACAACGCTATATAAATAACGTATGGTTTTGTATAAGGTTGCAACCATAAATAATCAAATTAAGGCGCCCCCCAAATTTTGTCATAAATATAATTGTGGTGTTAAAAATTATTAGGATGTCCAAAAATGGTTCAAATGAAGTAGATCAATAAACACTTGAAAATGGACTGACCAATAGTATGTTGCAAGATACACTATTTTTAGGACTCAAAATCTTTTTTTCATTTCATATTCATCTCTCCTTAAAATGGAACTAGATAGATCCAAAAATAATCTACGCATTTCTTTGAATCCAATTATATATTTTTTAAGTATACAATGGGCGCCCAAAATTGATCACAATGTTAATTCTACCCATGTTTTAGGTAACATAGTTGAAAGAAAAAGGTTTATTTCTAAAATAATGTTGTTTCTCTCCTATTGTATAGATACCTCTAAATTAGGAGGAATCTCATATTTATAAATGTAGACAATCTAAGCATATATTGAGACAATATATCGAAGTACACTTAAAGTATCAACTATTTAACATTTCTCCATTTATTAAAGTATTTATGATGATATAGTTAGGGTGTTTAGTTTTTTATTTTCTTGTTTTTAAGATATTGAAATTAAGTTTAAGGTTATTTGGGCTTTCAGTTTATTTTATGGTGTACTTGTGTCAGTTGTAGACAAGAAAAAAGAACGAAAAAAAAAAAAAAAATTGGGTCTTGTAAAAAGTTGTAAAATGATTTTTGTGAGGTAGACTCTCTTGTAAACCCTAAAAAAACATATTCTCTTACCTTTTTTTTTTAATTTTAGTTTTCTAATTTACAGCTGATTTTCTTTGTTTTTCTTCTCTATATCAATAGAGATTGTATACTTGGTACAAGGAGGTCGCAATTATTCCTAACCATTGTATATTAAATTGGACGGTTTGGGTTGTGCCAGGAAGTTAAATTCATTTCTATGAACTTTGATACTAGTCAATGATACTGTTACAACTGATTTGAAATCGGACGGACAAAAGTGACTATGACCTCTTTGTACTAAAAATAAATAGTCTCTTTATATATTTTTCCATATCAATTGATATCAAAGCCTTGAGATACATACCTTAAGATCCATACACCATGATGTCATAAAAAATATCATCAATCCAATATATAACGCTTGGATTGAAAGAGTAAGAAAATACTTTGAAAGAAAGCCTTGGTAATGTAATATAACAAATGCTACAAGAACTATTCGAACAGGAACATGACGATCAGGAAGATAAAAATCAACCTCTAATTGAAGCATTAATAAGATGTTACAATACACTCTAGAAGTTGATCTAGTTGTAAAGCATGAAGTACAAGTGGTGGAAAGCGCGTGAGGTTTTGGCATCAAATCGATTTTCTAGGCGTATCACAACTTTGTTGGAAAGTCCAATAAATCAAAAGTTATACGGAAGGATAGTTTTTGAGTTCTTTAAGTTTGAGGTTGAGCTCCTCCCAACTCAGGAAGAACCATGCAGTTAGGGTTTTTATTTTTATTTTATTTTTTTAAGAGATTCAAATTAGATTGGGGACTATTTGATCATTTAGTTTTCTACAATTTTCTCCTTTCTTTTGTTGAGCATTGAGGGGTATACTAGAAAGTTTAAAATTAAACATATAAAAGGCTTAGGATTTAATTGTGGCTTTTAAAGAGCACGTTAAATATGTAATTTTTAAACAAGAAAAAATAATAAAAAAAGATGAATTATTTTGATTCTTGTAAAAATATATTTTTTGGCAAACTCTCTTCTAGACCCAAGTAGGGTATATTTTCTCTTCTTTTTTTTTCTAATTTTATTTGTAATTTATTTTCTTTCTCTTTCTCCCTAAATCGAATGTCCTTTGATAGGCTTTTTTAAATTAATAAAAACTTAAATAGCTCATCTCTGAGTATTAATGAAAAATGTATTTCCTTGTACTCCTCTCCCAACATTATTTTGATGTCAAACTATTGGACTGCCTAATAGTTTTATATTTTTTAGAGGTGAGTGAGGGTTCGAAAAATAGAGTCCCCAAATTTTAGCACATTCTCATGTATATAAATAAAATAATATTTAAATACTTAAACATACTTCCAACCATCCAATCAAGATCAAATTGTTGAGATCAATTGCCTTTTATGTGAACAACAATGTGGACTATTTGGTTACTTGAAAAATATTAGCCTTGTGTTCGTCTATTCTTTTGTTTTGCCTATATAAGATCAAGATTTAAGTTAGGGAAAAAGTTTATATAAGGATGCAACCTTATAATGTAGAATTACGGATGCACCTCAAAAATCCATCGAAAAAGGTAGTTTTAATATTGATCATCTCGACATCGAGATGTATGACCATAAAAAATAAAAATATTTTAAGTCTCAGAAATAGTGCATTTTAGAACATACTATCTACACCATCCATTTTCAAGTATTTTCTATATGTTTATTAGTTCTACTTAATTTTAACCTACTTTTTAAATTT